TATATATATATGTTAGCTAGCAGAACCAAGGCATGGAATCACACTGAAACAGCAACTCTTCTAAAGAACCAAACTCAAACCTTATTCATCTGACCCATAAGTGAACTTGAGTGAAGAACCCAGTGTACTCAGATCTCTGTGGTCCACTTTAGTGTCTCAGTCCACTTCAACTGACGTATTTATAGTACTTATATTTGAAACGTAATTGAATATTATATAATTGCAATACAATAATAATAATAACTCTAATGTTCATTTTCTGAATAAAATTGTGGTGCTTACTGTGACAAACCCTTGCACTAGGCAGTTGCTAAGGTGCTCTTGGAGGTTCCTACGTAGTTGCTGGGGTGTTCTGGGAGGCTGCCTGCCGGGTGAACATTGTACACCCGATTGCTTATAAAAGTCATAGCAGTATTGACCTCAATAAGCCAAACAATGTGAGGCCTCATTCATTGGTGTATGACAACTTTTGCCTCAATAAACTCCTAATTTGCCACTTATTAATAGTTAGTAAGGTAGTTGTTAAGTTTAGGTATTGGGTAGGATTCTACTATAGCTCATGCATGGAATTAATATGTGCTTATATAAGTACTAATAAACAGCCAGTATGCTATTAATATGCATGCTAAATAAGCATCTAGTTAATAGTGAGAATTGGTCCCCAAACTAAAGTGTTACTGTATTTTCTTTCATAATTTTCCAACTGAACACACATAATTTTAAGTTGTTATTCATTGAAAATCTTGCCTTCTCCTGTAGCTCTCAAATCTAATTTGCAATTTCACATATTCATAACTGGCACATCAGGGCCAGTCACAGTAGAACAATCAATGGCTTTGGCACCACTGATATCAAACCAGGCATGATGTGTTTTGATGTGCCACATCTGAATATGAATGCAAATCCTTGTGGTGTTTATTATGGTGTTTTTGGAGCACCTGATCACTGTATGCTTTGTATGGAAAGGAGCTGTCTTAGACATTTTCCAAGGGAAAAAAAAGAACGTTAAATGGTTTAAAATCATGTCAGATACCATACAGAAATGTCATTTTTAGATTAATTATCCCTTTTAAAGACTCCATTGATACTGTTATTCCTTGCATGGCGGTAAACAGCTTTGCCGTTCATGTGTCAAAGATTTTATTCTCAAAAGATGTCCGGATCCTCCCTGTAGCGGGAGTTGTGTGCATCGATAGATGTTTTCTTTAAACTCTCTTCCCCTCTCTCTCTGGTGTGTATCAAAGGAAGAGACGAGTGGCACTTTCTGTTCTCAACTTGCCAGTCCTCATTAGCATCTACAGTCCTGCTGGGCTAGAGGGATGTTTGCCATTAAATATACATGCACATCCACTTCTACCACCCTCACAATGCCACAAAAGTCTGGGAAATATTTGCATTTGCAACGACCTTATGCATGTAGTTAAAATACAACTCAAAACGTTTACAACTTGCATATCAAATCATAGACAAAGCCATACACGCCACTTCAAGAACGTCAGCAGATATCCATTTGTGCACCCAAAGGCGGCCTGCCAAAAAGATTCTCTGAAAAATTGTGATCTGTGCTTTCATTATAAACACTGGGCGGCAAAGCACAAGTTCAACACATCTCTCTTATCTAATGGTTTAATAGGAGTCACTCAGATCAATATTCCATTCAGACGTTCAGTTGGCAGTGTCCTGGCTCAATGTGTCCTTCTCCCATCCAAAGATGATCAAAGCCAAACCCTTTTTGGGTTTCAGAAAAGCAATGATGCTACTGTACCTCAACCTATGTATGCAAAGCCGCTATGAGGAACTGATACTTATTTTAGCACTGCATTGCAGAACTACTTCTGAAATTCTGTTATATCATTCCTCAAAGCATTGAACTCTATTGAGTGAAACACAGCGCTCAAAGCTCAAAGTTCAAGCAATTTCAGCTTTGACCCTGTTTGCTGATGAGCTTTTTGAGGGAAAGCCATGATTAACATACAATTTACAGAATGTAGGATGTATCATGATCAAACTGGTTGTTGTCCAGACTGAAATAAGACTGTGATTTATTCATTATTATCTAAATGAATTTAATGTTATGACATTTAAAAAAAAAGAATTTGAATTGATGTATAGCAAAATGCAAAAGAAAAAATACGTTATATGTAAGAAAATAGAATTAAAATGATTTGAAACATATAGCAAATATAGCAACATCCATATAACTAATTTTTCACTCGAAAAGCAAGGTTTGTCAAGAAAAAAAACTGAATGTCGCTATATAAAGCATTGTTTGAAAGTGTTGAAAAATGTAAAAAAAGTTTAGATAGATAGATAGATAGATAGATAGATAGATGATAGAATGTACTGTATTAGTAAATGTTGAAATTAACATTGTTGTATGAATTCTTCAAGTCTTTTTCATTGTAAGTTATTGTTAATTACATGTTAACACTGAAAAAACATTACTTTGAAACAATTTTGACTCAGAAATCATTAGCAATTTTCACAAATATTTACAAATAATAGCAAGTAACACTGAATTAAATGTGTAATTTTGAAGCAGAAATACTGAAATAGTATTTTCTTGTAAAACATACTCCAAAAATGTATTTACAACTTTGAAAAATCATTGTAAGTTCTTGTTAATTACATGTTAACACTGAAAAAACATTACTTTGAAACAATTTTGACTCAGAAATCATTAGCAATTTTCACAAATATTTACAAATAATAGCAAGTAACACTGAATTAAATGTGTAATTTTGAAGCAGAAATACTGAAATAGTATTTTCTTGTAAAACATACTCCAAAAATTTATTTACAACTTTGAAAAATCTTTTTTTTTTTTTTTTTTTTACAGCCTAGATGCAGAAATTCCATATGTGACCTTTAAATTCACCAAGAACATCCCAAGACAGTTTCGTCAACCTAAATTAAATGTAAAGTCCTTTTTTCGTAATGTGATGTATCAAAGCAGTCAAGAAAAGCTTTTTTTTTTTTTTTAGTTCTAAAACCTATCAACCTTCCGCTGTGTTATATGCAGGTCAAAACAGCGTATGAATTTGTTGACAAGTGTGTTTATGCCCTGACGCGAATCATACTCTCAGGAGATGAGTCATGGAAAGATGAACCTATGAAAGATATCTGTGGATTTTCTAGATGTAGAGTTTGTGTGTGTGTGGGTCACGGTCAGTGGATATTATTAAGTATTTATATTTTTAACTCATGGGAGGTCCAGTATACTTACATTTCTCAGAGGTTGTGTGGGTTTTGCTTGCAGGATTCATGTGCTGCTGGCTTCTCGCTTCTGCAGAGGGAAACAGATGCAATAAACTGGATGAAGTGCTGTTGTTCCTCCCCTGCGAGTAGATGACAGTTTTTCTGCCCTTGCTCATATCTATTATTCAGGTATCTCTCTTTGGGGATGGAGCCAATGAAACTGTGGATGTCCATAATCAAACACACAAACACACACACATAGCAGCTTTGCTCCTGATACAGCACCAGTTACAAAAAAAACCTGACAAGGTATTCCTGGCACAAAGTAAGTGCAATATGACAATGGGGAACAGGAGGGCTCAGGTTAGCATATGGAGAGAATCAAGATGTAATCTGAGCTGAGAATGGACATGATTCCCAGTGGAATCCAAAACCGTGGGGGCAGAACAGAGGTTCTCTTTGTTTTCCATTCGGCAGGTATGTTACAAGTGCTGATGGGGGAAGGAAGGTGTTTTGTAGAGCAGTCAAATGCACCTGAGACTCCAGCCCTAAGCATGTAAAAATATGCTTGGTGGAAAACATTGTAATTACTTCAGTTTTGACAGCTCTGTGCTTGAATTTTAATTCTACTTTATATACATATATATATATATATATATATATATATACTGTTTATTTACTCAGTGCCACTTATAACATCCAAGTGAAAGATATAACCAACATGTCAGAAAAAAATAAATCAGAATCACTGAGTTGGAAAAAGGATCACCCCCTTGTGTCAGTATTTTGTTGAACCACCTTTTGCTTTAATTACAGCCTTTAGTCTGTTGGCATGTGTCTCTACTAACTTTGCACATCTAGACTTTGCAATATTTGCCCACTCTTTGCAGAACTACTAAAGTTCAGTTCAATTTGATGGTTAGTGTTTGTGGACTGCAGTCTTCAAGTCATTCCACAGATTTTCAATTGGGTTTAAGTCTGGGCTCTGACTAGGCCATGCAAGGACAGTCACCTTTTTCTCCTTCAACCACTGTGTGATCAGTTTTTCTGTGTGCTTTGGGTCATGTTGGAAGGTAAACCTTCTTCCCATTGACAACTTTCTGGCAGTGGGCAACAGATTTTCCTCAAGAATTTGACGGCATTTTGCCCCGTCCATTTTTCCTTCTATCCTGACAAGTGCTTCAGTCCCTGCTGCAGAGAAACACCCCTATAACAGGATATTACCACCTCCATGCTTTACTGGAGGAATGCTGTTATTTGGATGGTGAGCTGTATTAGATTTCCGCCAAACATATCATTTGGTGCTGAGGCCAAATTAAATTTTAGTCTCATCTGCCTCAGAATCTTAAGGTGTGTTTTGGCAAAGCTCAGTCGTGACTGCATGTGGCCTTTCTTGAGGAGTGGCTTTTTTTCTTGCAACTCTCCCATACAAGCCACATTTGGGGAGAATTTATGATGTTGTTGTCACATGCACTCAATCACCACTCTTTATATCTATCTACTTTATATATTCTAATATATCTAAATTACGACCTATGCCCTCAATGTCAAATGCAGAAAAGTTCATTCATGCGTTCATGACCTCAAGGTTAGATTATTGTAATGCTTTATTGGGTGGTTGCTCTGCGCGCTTAATAAACAAACTCCAGCTGGTCCAAAATGCAACAGCTAGAGTTCTTACTAGAACCAGGAAGTACGACCATATTAGCCCGGTTCTGTCAACTCTGCACTGGCTCCCTATTGAACAACGAATACATTTTAAAATCTTGCTAATTACTTATAAAGCCCTGAATGGTTTAGCTCCTCAGTACTTGAGCGAGCTCATATCGCATTATAGTCCTTCACGTCTGCTGCCATCTCAAAACTCTGGCCATTTGATAATACCTAGAATATTGTTAAAGGGTTGTTAGGCTGCATTAATTAGGTCAACCGGAACCGGGAACACTTCCCATAACACCTGATGTACTCGCTACATCGCAAGAAGAATGGCAACTACGCTAATATTAGTCTCTTTCACAGTGGTGTAATGTAACGAAGTAATAATACTTTGTTACAGTACTTTTTGCTCATGCAAACAAGTGTGCGCACAACCGCGGATGATTCATTTCCCACTCAAATCGAGTCTGGGGTGTGCGATATACAGCATATCTTCTGAGATAATATGGTAAGTGTTGTTGTAATGATGTGCGATCTGACATTATCAAGTATATCACCAAATCACACACAGAGAGTGCACGCATGCGATTTATTAGTCTATTAAAAGTCAAAATTCAAGGCATTCTAAATTGTAGATGGCAAAAATACTAATGTATGCTTTTTATATTTATATAATTTAATATAGTTAACCTAATCTATATCACACAAAGAGTATAATGTTTTTCTGCAGATATTAGCATGATAACAAATGTAGGCCATACAAGTTCAGTAAAGTTAGCAATAAGTGACTTACATATTAGACATAATATTTCCTGTTTTTGCTCAATTTTGCCAATGAAAATAGTTCCGAACAAAGATCACAGCACTGCTTTGCGTCTCTGAGCAATGGTGTTTACTTATTGAATGAATCAGCTTTTTTAACGAATCGGTTGAATAAATGATTCAGTGATTCACTCATTAACAAAGGCTGTGTTCGAAATGCCATACTATCATACTACTCTTACTATTTCTGCAGTATCCAGTATGTATGCTGTGCATAATATGCAAATTTTTTGTATGCATGTAATACTCGGATGACCTACTATATTCGCCAGAATCTGCTAAATATAACTCAAGTACACTGAAATCAGTACAGAAGCTGTTCGGAATGGCATACTACCATACTATATTGCAGTATGCTGTGTGTATACTGTGAATAGTATGTGAATTTTCTGTATGCATGGAATGCCCGGATTACCTGCTACATTGGCTGAAATTTGATGTATGCATCTGAAGACGCTGCATGGGATACTGTTTCCCAGAACGCAATGCGCTCCATGTGACGTTTCATCTTCAAACGCGTGAGTGAACTGGAGGTGGGGAATAGTAATTATAAATGTAACACTTGTATTTGTACGTATATACATATACATGTAAACTACAAACTATCGCTGTGTATCTAAAAACAGTATCGTTAGTAGGACATAAATTGTACTTTAATCTCTACAGCACGTTTCCGATCATCAAATGACGTCACCTTTATCTTTATTCACTTGCTGTCACCTACTGGCGGTTTTAATTTCACATTTCTACTATTTTGTTCATGGTTTAAATCATTTCAAATAGTGGTATTCAACGTTTTATGTTAAAAACAAAACATTATGTATACATTTGTAACTGCAGGTTAAATGCACGTCCTCTCTGAGATACATAACTGTGTAAATACATCTAAATGCTATTTCAGATGCAGATGCTAAATGTTTTCTTATGTTGGAATGAAAGACACTACTGGAAGAATTGCTACCCAAAAATACAAAATGGATAAAAAGAGTTAAAACTGAACATTGAACACAATCTTGCTACTCAAGCTGTGTATGAACATACATATACATATATATATATACACACTCCTTTTCCATTTTGCATTTACTTGTACTTTTACTTTCAATACTTAAGTACGTTTAAGATTTAAAAAATACTTTTCGTACTTAAGTACAATAAATATCACATACTTTAAGACTTTTACTCAAGTAATATTCTATGCGTTGACTTCAGCTTCTACCAAAGTCATTTTCTGGTAAGATATCTGTACTTTTACTTGAGAATGGCTTTCAAGTACTTTATACACCACTGCTCTTTCATTTTTATTCCGAGGTCACCGTAGCCATACGGATCCAGTCTGTATTCAGTCCAGATGGTGTATCAGCACCTAGAGATGACCTCTACAGCCCTGAATGTCAGCGGAGACCATGTCAACTAGATGAGCCCCAGAGACAGATCCCCTGCGAGGACCTCGTCACCTCGACGACCATCGGCACAAGACCACAGGGACCAGATGAGTCCTCTGCACAATCTGACCTGTGTTGCAGCCTGTAATTAAACTACACCATGCTGGTTTCGTCTGGCCAGAGGAGAACTGGCCCCCCGACTGAGCCTGGTTTCTCCCAAGGTTTTTTCTCCATTTCTATCACCGATGGCGTTTTGGTTCCTTGCCTCTGTCACCTTTGGCTTGCTTAGTTGGGTACGCTTGACTGATTGCACAGACACTATTGGAAAAGAGCTGAACTGGATGATGCCATCACTGAATCATCAATGAACTGACTTTAGCTAGAAAAATGACTCTTTGTTATTGTCTTCTTGCATTATTGACAAACTAGTTTCCTGTTTGTCACTGTAAAGCTGCTTTGACACAATAAGTATTGTATAAAGCGCTATACAAATAAAGGTGATTTGACTTAACTTTATCATAAATTCCTGCACCTGCTTCAGAGTTGCTGTAGGACTCTTGGTCGCCTCTGAACAGTTTCCTCCTGGCTCTTTCATCCAGGAGCGACGTCCTGATCCAGGAAGTAACAATTAACAATTACCTTCCACTTCTAAATAATAGACTTCACTGTGCTTCTAGGCATTGATAAATCCTTTGAAATTTTTTTGTATCCATCTCCTGACTTGTGCCTGTCCACAATTTTATCCCAGAGATCTTTTGACAGTGCCTTGCCATCCATAGTTGATTGTTTGCTTCAGTTGCACTACCAAGGACTGAGATGCTCCAGGAAAGCTCTTTTCATGCTGAGTTAATCAAAATAACCACAGCTGATCACAGCTGAAAGTCAAATGGCTTTGTGTGCCATTGAAGCCTTGTCCACACGGAGACGTGTTTAGCTGTAAACGCATACATTTTGTATCGTATAGGCGTTTCGTCCACACGGATCCGGCGTTTTGGGAGAGTTGAAACCGATATATTTTTAAACTGGGTCCCAGAGTGGATAAATCTGAAAACGCTGCCCTTGCGTTTCCGTGTGGACAGCGAATCCGTATATTTTCTGAAATTATAAATATGTTATATTATAGATATATATTTTATATATTTAAATATTTTATATTATAGATATATATTTTATATAATTATAATATATAATCATATTATATATGATTATACTCATATTCGCCCCTAGTCAGACACCGCTACGTCACGTAACAGCAACAAAAACATGAACAAACACTGAACGATTTTCTTTTTATTAACTAACATTAACACAGATTAATATATGTATTGTTCCATGTTCGTTTGTATATCGCGCGCAAGATTTATGCGCATAGTCCAAGTCTTCTTCTCCGTTTTTAGTGTATCTCTGTGGCAGAATTACAGCGCCACATACTGGTCTGGCATGTATACTACATCGTTTTGTGTCAGTTTCGTGGTTTCGTGTGGACGCAGATATTTCTTGAGACGAGGGGAAAAAAAAGATCGGATAGGGAAAGCTCTGGCTTTGTGAGGACGTAGCCTGAGAAGGTGATTATCTACACCTGTTTGAGATTACAAGTCATTTTTAGGACGGGAGTGATCCTTTTTCCAACTCAGTAGGCTCGTTTGACATGAGCAAAATCTGCACAGAACCAATCACCGGTGATCACTGCAAGATGCATGCCGGTTAGAAATGTGTCCGAGGGCGGTCAGCCTTGCTCTGATGTCACGCCGACGTATGGCAAAAATCTCTCGCGACAGCAAGTCAGCCGTGCAGTCGAGCGCAGTTGCTCTCTTCCAGCTGTGCTGACCAAAAGCACAATGGGAAACGACTTGCTGAAGACACAGCTTAATGCTCATTGGTTCAAACAACCGTGATGTTGCGTTCTATTCTAAAATGGTTTATTTTTTATCTGATATCATGTGATTATGTGTTTAAATTATGCATGAATATTCCCAAACACTATGAAAGTGTGATCTCTCTGTAAGATATGTGATTATTGCCATATTTCAAAAAAATTCTAAAATACATGTTTGTAGTAAAGTAAAAATGGATGATAATACATCTTTCGAATGGAATAAATAGCAAGTAGCTTACTTTTAGTGTCTTGTTCATCATATTTGTTTTCATATAAAAGCAACAGAACTGAAATTATATCATGTTTATCATCAACACAGTGCATGAGTGAATAACACGATATCGCCTTTGATCTCGTAGGTGTCTTTTCTACTTCGAGAGGTCAGAACTGTCCATCTTGACTGCGCTTATTTCACTCCTCCCCTCACTGCAGCCGCCTACTCTCGCCTAAATTTCAGGCGAGGCTAGCCGCATCTTAAATGAGCCTAGTGATTCTGTTTTTTTATTGTTTTTTTCTGACATGTTGGTGTTATATCTTTCACTTGTATGTTATAAGTTGCACTGAGGAAATAAAGGTGGATAATTTATCTGTCTTCATTTCATGCTGCAAAGAAACAAAATGTGATTATTTTAAAGGAGGTGATTCTTTCTATACCCACTGTAAATCCATATGAATCGAGTGGTTTAATCCAAGTCTTCTGAAGATCAGATAACAATGTTTACAGCATTCAAATTTGGTCACAGAAGCTCAAGCATGTTCCAGTGAGGTTTATATTGATTTTGAAGGGAAATGTTTTCATGAGGTTGAGCCATAATGTCTTTAATCTGTATGAATGGGTGATCAGTGACCTTTGTCTGTAGAAAATGTAATTTAACTATATTTTTATAATTGTCAAATACTAGTTTATTTTATGCCTTTTTGCTTTTTGTCAAAGAGGGAATGTGCACATGTTTCCATGATTACTTAGATTTTGCATTAGTTTGATAGATATTCAACATTTTTTACGCATAGGAAAAGTGGTTTGGGGATGGATGGATGTATTTGAGTTGACTTAAAAAGCTATCCTTTTATTTGTTATGACTTGATCTGCAGTGTTCATTATTTTTTATAAATATATCCTTGTGCCTTCATTTGCATTCCATTGTTGATTATGTACAGTGAACTGTATGAATTATTGCCCTCATGTTCTGCAGTACTTCAAAAATACTAAATAATGTTTGTAGTGCTCTGGGCTTTAAATGTAAAGTATATGCATATATGCATTAGCTATCCTTTGATAAGAATGATTGGCCATCATTTAGTTTGACTACACAACTTTAGTTGAGACTGAGACTCCATGCACACACACACACACACACACACACATATATATATATATATATATATATATATATATATATATATAATGTTGCAAGAGAGATAAGACATTTAAACTTGAGTGGCACATTAATCTTACTTCCCCTCAGTAATTCAGAAGTCCTCACCTCAAACTGACAGTGCAGGACTTTTTGGCAGCATTTCCTCAATCAGGAAAGTTGATCCTGTGCACAGGGGGATGTGCGTCCTGCCTAGATATAGGAAACACTCTTTAGACTGAAGAGATCCTTTTTTGAATAAAACAAACAGCTTTAACCCCCTGGGACCAAGGAATAGACTTCAATCCTCTGCATTGGACATTATATTTGAGTGAATTTCTCTGAGAACTTGCATGCCACAGTTTTAGTCTGGATGTCCTGCACAGAGCAGATTCAGGGCTTTTCAGAGATACCAAATGTTTGGAAGTTTCTCCACTCCCTTTGGTCTTTAAAAAATGGCTGACATTAATTTAGTGATCAAATTTAACTCTTATGGAAAAATAATATTTTGTAATTATAATTTAAATCTGACAAATTTTTTAACTGTTTGTAATAAATCAACATCTCAGGAATATGTTATGGGGTTTCAAATCAAAAAATGACTTTCTGTTACGAAACAGGACATTGATTTAATACAAGTCCACTTGCAGAGGATACCAAGACTAAAAGCATGTTTATTACGCATTTTGGGAGACACAACAAATGAATAGGGAAACAAATTATATTTCAATATTCCTATGAAATATTATATATTATTATGAAAATCTTGTCAATTATTACTCCCATTA